AAAGGATGAAATGGGGGAGAGTTGATCTTCGTCAGTTCTATATTTAAATTAACTAGCCACAGTCACACGGATCCAAGTAAATGATAACATTCCTAACTCCAAAATAACACATTCTTTTTACCATTCTTTCTACAATCACCATAATACCGTATGTCTCTATGGACCAAAGAGGAAGGCTGATCAGAATAATTACCGTGAAATGATTTATAGAAGATACTAAGAGATGCTGCATTACAGCGATAGAGATATGACTGAAGCCGAGATGCTAGGTCAGGGCCGATAATGTTGCAGAGTTTTCTTTGGATTTTGTCAAAAATCTCTAGATATATAGCAAAAGCACCGAAACATACGTGGCAACAATATTCGGTGAACGAACGAATGGTAGCTTTATAAATATGCAAGATAGATTCTGGCGAGAAAAAATTTCTTAACATGACATAGTGAATCGACTTTCCTATCAGCAGACCTAACATTTGATTCAATATAATCGGTTCACTTCATGTCAGCGGAAACGAGTGACCGAGAATGCGCAATTAGGCACTCTTCTGGAGGTTAGCACCTACCACGCTGATGCAAGTCAAAAAAGGAGTTAAGATGCTTAAAAGAGAGCAGTTTAGTTTTGGAATTTTAATATTAACAAGCCATTTTTTGCCACACTTAACAACAGACTTACTCTTAAGACAGGGTATATAGATGTGTCATCAGCATATACCAAGTCAGGGACTAATGACATCGAGAAGGTCGTTGATGAAAATAAAGTTGGTCCAAGAATAGAGTTCCGATGGATGCACGTATTAAAAATGTGTGTCCCTTTATTGGATGGAGCTATATGCATATCACACAGTTGAAAGTCGGTTCTAAGTGTGTGTGTGTGTGTGTGTGTGTGTGTGTGTGTGTGTGTGTGTGAATATGGCAGGTTTCAGGAAAAAATTTCCCAAAATAAAACATAAAATAAGATTTACATTTCGTGGACGTAGTAGAAAACAAATGACTGGGTATAACACAAATTTTCATTAAATCTCTATAGGTTTCAATAAACTAAAAAAAAAACTTTCAATTTGTAGCTACTTAAAATATTTGCAACAGGTCGTGGTCAGTCAACTCAAATATGCCTGCTCGTCTACGCAAATCTACGGCAAGCGACTTAATTTACTCAGAGATAAACGAAGTTGCTAGAGATCAAAAGACTCATTGACAATTTTAACTGCATCTCAGCTTCTCTAAATCTATACGTTTGTATTTTGTTCTTTTGGATAGTGCGAAGAATAACATTTACTAAAATTTATGAACTTTATATTAGACAGGAACCCATTTTTACGAACCTTACAAATAATAAGATTGTTTATTACAGGATAGAGTAGAGATTGATGACGCGGAATGGGACATAGGAGCGCAGAGTTCAAATTCAAACTGAAACCGTGGCGTTCGATTTCGCATAAAAAATCTTTGGAAAATATATAAATCCATCTCTACCCCATTCCCATCCCATCTATGTATTAGATCATTGCAAATTTCGTGCCAGATTAGAAAATTAAAAACAAAATTTTATATACTCACAAAAAAAGGCAAGTACGAAAATGCGTTGTGGTGTAATGGATATCGGCTCGGAATATGAACTCGGAGAGCCGCGTTCGAATTCCGGTCGAGTTCGTTAAATTCCCTTGCGCACAAATACCCTTTGGGAAGTTATGAATCCATCTCTCCTCCCTCCCCACCCCCAACAATGGGTTGAACAGCAGGACAGACTGAGTTCTTTAGCCTTGGTTGGCAACCAGTCTACCGCAGAAAGAAATGGCAGTCTACTGCGGGAAAATCTGCTTCGTCAGTCATGTATCGAAGGATACATGATCGCTCAAACGTGTATCGCATATTTGCACTTAACTGATTGACTGACATAGTCTCCTTGTTTTTTTAACAACTGTCTGCAAAGGAAGGTTGTGAGGTTGTGAGTTTTCGACTGTCTGTATAGAGTCCTTTTTTTTTTTTTAATTGTTTTGTAGAGACCGGAACAAATGATAATCCGAATGATCCAAGTCTGAAGAATACAGTGGGTGCTGGAAGGTTTCCCATTTCAACTCTTTAAGCTTCTGTAAGGTCTGTTTAGCAACATGCAGCTTTGCATTGTCGTGGTGGAAAATGACACCTTTTCGATTTGCCAAAAATCAGCCGTTTTTCTTGAATAGCCGCAATGAGATTGGTGAGTTGGTCTCAATCACTTCTTTGCAGTTACTGTTTCGCCGTCTGTAATAAGTTCAAAGTGAATTATCCCTTTGCAACCCTAGCAAACGGATAGCAACACCTTCATTGCTAACCCTAACCTGTTTTAGCCACAAGTTCTTTACATTCACGATATTGTTTCCAGTTCCGTTTGCATCAAGCGTTATCATAAACGATCCATTTTTAATCGCCAGTGACAATTCTGTTCAAGAACTGCTTCTTTTCGTGGTGTAACAGCAAAGAAATCACCACAGGAACATAATCGAACTTGTTCTGTTCCATCAGAGAATGTAGCACCACGTGTCGAGTTTAGAAAACGAACCCGAGTTTCTTCAAAAGTCGAAAGACAATTGAAATATTGATCTTTAAAACTCAACAATCTCTTCCGTTGAAATCTTCGGTTTATTCCCCACAAGGACAAGCAGAGCGTCTTCAACGACGTGAGAAGGTCACCCGGAGCGTAGGTGATCATTTAGGTTAAAATCACATCGACGAAATCTGCTAAACCCCTTTTTGACCATATGAAGAGGTGGAGCACGAACCAAATGAACCATCTGAATGTTTTTGTCACAATTCCGACACTTACTCCTTTCAGAAATTCATAGAGCATAATATACTGAAAGTGCAGTTTTTCATCCGCCATCTTTAAGTCATCCATTTGTGGGCAAAACATCAACATTAAACAAAGTCTGTCTGGCAACTGAACGATGCAAGGTTTCAATCTAAAACACACCAGAAATCGACACCAAAAAAAAAAAGAAAAAAAAAAGAATAACAGTGTCAAGTTACTGTCATTTTATATTAACAATGAAAATCTGGCATGAACTTTTGATATATGAATCTATCTCTACCAACCGTATCCCCAGCTATGGGATTAATAGCAAGAAAGACTGAACTCTTGAGGTTTGGTTGCCAACAACTCTAGAAGCCAACTCGTAACTCGAGCTCGTAAAACCTACTTTCTACGGAAACCACAACAATACCACATCTTCTGGTGCACGGCCCTATATTCCACACGAGAGTCTACAAGAGTTGACACACAACATACATGCTAGGAAAAGATACTACCATACAAATCAACTCACACACAAACATTTACATACAAAAAAAAACTTTCTTTTTATAGGTAAATAGCAGTTTTAAATCTTATTACAATTATTGAAAGTAAATTTATTATTATACTTGTGATCATGACTACCGTATTTGACGGCATATAAGACCAATTTCAGCAGGGAAAATCAAGAAAAAATTAGTAATTACTAAAATTAGTAAAATTATTAGTGAATGGTACAGTTTAGGCTGTTTATGAGGCATTATTTTGGTTGAACAAACCATGATTACAATTAAACGAAAAATAACAGGAAAAAAGAAAACGAGTCTATAAAAACTTTATTATATCCTTTAAATAATCCATACAACCTGCGTCTTGTAAACGTCTTATTGGAATAAATAGGATATAAAAATTTTGATTGTCTTCATAACCAATGCAACCGGAAGTTATCGAAAAAATTTAATGAAACAAATGTATTTTACACATATTTAATTTGAATTTATTGCATAAAATGTTAGTGAAACAAAGTACTAATATTAAACGTGATGAAATCAATATAATGAATATTATCAATGACTAGCAGGAGAGCCCGACGTTGCCCGGGGATATAACAGTAAGAGATAGATCAAGTATCGACCATCATAAAGACTGAAAAATAAAATTGACAAAGATTATTGTTTAAGGTTGACGGACACGCATGTCTTAATTAGTTTTTTTTTTTCTTTTACGAATTGGTCAAACCCAAACTCATGAGTCTATCGATTGAATAGAATTTTATTATAAACAATTGTCTTGTAAATGGAATTTTTAAAGCATTCTGAATGTAAAAATAAAGAAAAAAGTGTGCAAGACAATAAGAAACACTACCTGCCAAAAAAAGTGAAGTTTTGTTGAAATCTGTTGAAAAATGTAGGAAATCCGATCCCATATATAAACGAACACACACACACACACACAAACAACCTGGGTTTTATAATAAGTATAACTCGATATGAGTTGTCCCCCTTCCATTCTGGCAACAGAATCGTGTTTTATCGTGTTTTCAAATTGATTTCGTGCAAAAACAATTGAGTTTTTCCAATTTTTAGCGCTGTCAGAACCACCGCAAGGTAATTTTACGCAGTCCTGTGAAGTTTTGTTGAAATCGGTTGAAAAATGTAGGAAATCCGATCCAATATATAAACGTACAGACACACACACAATCTGCGTTTTATAATAAGTAAGATAACACGTAATCTACATAATAGCCTTTTAAATAATGACTATAGGTATATAAAAGTTACTCTAAAGTCTAAGCTAATAGGAGTTACCAGGTAGCTAATTTCGGCCAATATCGCGAATTTTAAATCTACATATGGCATATAAAATACAATTGAATTTTTAAAAATATTTTTAGTAAAAAAAAAAAAGAGCGCCTTATATGCCGTCAAATATGGTAATTACCAACGATGTTTTACACATAAGCAAACTCTACTTTCGCCTACATCCGATATTTAAATTCCATTTCTGTTTTTATTATCATTTTTAATCTGATTGTTGAGAGTTGGGGAAAGACTGCAATTTATAGATTCTGATCTCGACAAGTCCATCACGGCCTGCAAATCTACAAACATGTACGGATATTTCATAAATTTACGTCTATTTATATACAGATCTATAATTGTAACATGTTACTTCTTGAATCTGTCTCTGGAAAGTTATCTCGGCGCGGTGACTTAGAGTTTAATTTGAGGCAACGATTATCGGCGACATCTATCGACACTTGTTCATATCTATCTATCTATCTATCTATCTATCTATCTATCTATCTATCTATCTATCTATCCTGAAAATTGCGTTCAAACAAGAAACAAAATGTCGCTGCTTGGCATCGACCTTAGTGTACACACACACACACACACACACACACACACACACACAGATATATATATCACTACAAAAATAGCCATTTTGTTTCAACACTTCGAGTGTCCTGTCGAGTGATGGTGTTACAAGTAAAATAAAGTGTTCAAAAACTAACCATTACCCCCCACAAGGGGAACGTACATATGTTATAATTTCTAAATAAATATTATTCGCTTTATTCTGTATTGAGCACTATTTAAAATAAAAAAAAACAGTGTTTTTGGTTACTGGAAGTTTATTCTATTTACACCAACCTTGTATTCATATATATATATATATATATATATATATATATATATATATATATATATATATATATATATATATATATATATATATATATCTATAAAAAAAAAAAATATAAAACATAAAATGTATTAATATATAAATACATTTTTATGTTTTATACATTCTTTTTTTATAGATATAAATATTTAAGTAAATGCTCTGTTTATAATAAACAGTGTTAACAATATTTACCAGCTTGTATGTCCGAGAAATTGTAATAGAAAATATGCGTTCTCCGACAGGAATCGAACCTGTATCCTATACGGAACCGTCATATAACCTGACGTGCTTTTACCGATTTCGCCACAGAGGAGCGTTTCGCTTAGCAAGGACGATTTTTTGCTTAATTATTTGTATCTATAAAAAAAAATGTACAAAACATAAAAAATGTCTTAAAATAATTGTCGGATTCGTACATTTTATATATGTATATATATATATATATATATATATATATATATATATATATATATATATATATATATATATATAGAGAGAGAGAGAGAGAGAGAGAGAGAGATGAAATGAAATTCTTTTGATTTTTTTTCTATTTGTTGATAGATATCAAATTCTCTTTATATCTATCTATCTCTTAATAGATATCTAATTCTGTTGATATCTATCTATTTCTAAAGAGTTTCTAATGGAGTCAGGTACTTACTAGAGCGGTACAAGGAGCCGACTATTTGACTTGTATCTTTAGCAATGGCTCGCATGTATGAGTTCCACTTGAGGTCAGGTGTGAGTTTAAGGCCCAATAGTTTCACAAGGCGCAGTGCTCCTCCGAGGGGACATCCATTCATTGTGACTGGCGATAGTTCGGGGTCTGATCAGCGATGATGGAATGTAACTAGTTTGGTTTCGAGGCATTGAATATAACCAGTCATTTTTTCTCCACTGAAAAGTTAGTGTTAGATCAAAAGAGAGGTCAGCTGCCAATGATTAGAACTATACCCGTATATCGTCGTATCATCAGCATTGATGTTTACAAATGATCTAAGTATATTATAAGGCAGATCGTTTATGCAAATCAGAAAGAGGGTTTGTCCAAGAAGTAACCCCCTGAGGGACTCCTGCTTTGACCGCCAGGGCCTCGGAGGACTGGCCGATAATAACTACCTTCAGCGATCTACCTGTTAGGAAGGTTTTTTTTGCCGGCCATTATTTATATAGACTTACACTCACAAACACTGATACAGTATTCTCACGAGTCGACTTTTGTACAAACGCAAATTTATTATACATACATCCACATTGAAAATAATACTGATTAATAATCTACGAGCACGTTTTCCGGAGTTACATTCATTCTATAACTTAAAATGTTTTATGAGTGTGATTTCAGTTCGCTTGAGTATCGTCTCGTTCGTTGACAAAAGCTTTCAAACCTATCCCATATCTACAAATATATATATATATATATATTCAAATGGATGGAATAAAAAAAATATACATGCACACACAAATATTGGCACCTACCTTATTCCTAAGGTGTTACAAATAAAGTGCTCAATGTTATGAAACAGAGCTATATTATCGAATATACATAACATCTAACTTTGATATCACTACTCGGAGTTTCATACAGTTCATGAACTGTTATTAGTAGTGTTATCGACATTGGATATTATATATGTACTAATATACACACACACACACACACATATATATATATATATATATATATATATAGTTTATAATATTCAGTTAACAGAATATCAGCCATTTTCTATGTTATTTAATGCTGAATACTTTCGTTCAATAGATGAGTAGACATGATTTGGCCTTGTGCCACCATGGGGAGGGTAAATAACGAATAGGCATGGCTTTAGTTTGCACGAGATTAAAAAGCTAGACATCGGTACAGTAAACTGGTGGCCCGTTTTTTTTGTTTTTGTTTTTTTATCTTACTATACACGCAAGGCGTGGAAGGAAAATATGGTTTCATCAGTGACCATGACTTGTGCAGCAGTTTTGGGTCAAGCATATCATTCCCCAGGTCCAACAACCACCATATTTCCCAAATCTCACCCTCTTGTGACATTTTCGTATTTCAAAAATTAAATTCAACTCAAAAGGAACAAGATTTCAAGAGGTCAAGGAAATCAGAGAAAATTCGACGACGGAGCTGAACGCTATCCCAGGAATGCTTGTTAACCATTACACCACATCGAAAATGCAGGGCCAGGCATATAATATAGATTTTTTTTATTGTCTCGTTTGTTTACATGCAAATCTCGCGAGAAACAACGATAAGTTTGAAAACCGGTTATTGGTTCTCGGCTGACTGATTTCCAAACGTTGTCTTGGAAGCACTAATAATGAAGTCCTGGTAACAAACTAATTGGTTAATGCTGCTCATCCCAAGAAATCATAGTCGACCTAGAATGATATGGATTGAAAGGAGGACGAACGAAGAAATGTCTCCGTCTAAATGAATCAGCAATACTGAATGAAGAAGCAATACTTACGAAAGAAATCAGGTTGATACAAATCACTTAATTATTTTATAAGCTTTACGTTCTGGTTAATAATATTCCAAGGAAACAGTGAAACAAAAGATTATTGTTTAATCGTATGGCTTAATAATGCAATAGCAGCGAATAGTGGAAATAAGCTTCCACTTTATATAAAATGCCTCTGACAACTGTCTAGATATAAGCCGGGGAATCCCCCCCCCCGACTTTGAAATGTACATATGGGAACTAGTTAGAATTTCATAGAGACATTGAGGTATTATGGTGTATGTAATAAGAAAGTTAGGAGAGAATGTGTTGTTTTGGTGATAGGAAGATTGTCGGTATGTTTGAGTCAATGTTTGTGGCTAGCTAAGTTTAGAAATTAAGGCAGAAGAAGACCGTCCTTTTCCCCAATCCCCCTTTTGGCCTTGTGCCACATTTTGTACTATTGTACAAATAAATATCTATAAGCCGGAGAATGGTCGAAGGCAGAAAACTGGTACTTCATAACTAGCTGCTTAGGGTAGATGCAGCTCGACAGCCCAGGAAAGAAGGCCAGCTAGTGGAATGAAAACACTGATTTTAAACCTTCACTGCCTTGCGGTCATATCCAACCAAACACGGAAAAGTTTATAGAAGTAAATCCAGACATAAAACTCGGAGTGGAGCCCCTAATGCGGTTGGCTGTCAATATTGACAACTTTCTGGCATCTCCTGCAGCCAAGCCGCCCGCAAATGTAATGCCATGAATTCTTTTGGATCTTGTCAGTACGGCCGAAATGGTGGGGGATTGTGTAGTCTGGTTAGCGCACGGCCTCCATGTACCATAGCCCAGGAGAGGTCACTCTGGTTTCACCAGCAAAGGACTGTATATTTATTGCATTTTCATACAATTTTGGCACGAGACCGAAGGGGAAGTGGGGTGAGGTTGGTCTTCACTCAGTCAGTCAGTTATGGGCCATGCGTGATACACGCGTAGGCGATCATGTATCGAAAGATACATGACTGACGCGACAGATTTTTCCGCGCAGTAGGTTGGAATTACTTTCTACGGTAGACCAGTTGCCATCCAAGGATAGAGAACCCGGTCTGTTCTGTTATTTACCTCTAGCTGGAGGGAGAATAAGAGGATTCATACCTTCCGCAAGGGTATCAGCACGTAAGTGAATGTAATGGATTCGACTGAAATTCGAACTCGGCTCTTCGATTCCTCAATCCGAGGAATTGGAGAACTATCCTAAACCTAGCTAATCAGATTCATAACACATTCGTTCATTACAATTTACTCATCCACCACAAGAATTCATTCAATCCAACGCATACTAGAATTAAGCATGCTCACAGGGATCCTACTAAAGTACCCATGGTATAAAAATTTCACATGTACAATTTTTTTTCCTTTTTCTATATAAATATAAATAAAAATATGAAATCATGAAACGAGGTGGGAGGGGATGAACCCGGAGACAAAAAATAAAATATAACAAAATAAAAATAAAATATGTTAGTAGGACCCGTCCATCCCGCAGACAAATAAGGGCAGCCGCTGTATTCCGCCAAAAAGCAGAATGAAGAAGTTCGCTTGCTAAGGGCCACCATTAAAGGAGTGAAGTTTGACCAAATAAGGCGCTACCTTTTATCTCGCGCGATAAACAGATGCCTATTAATAGCGAACACTATAGTTAGTGTGACAATGTGTACGATTCACTTTGCGACGACGTTGATTGGCAGAGCTCAATTTCGAAATCTAATTTCAACCGACAACTTAGGCAATAAAAAAAAAAATCATGAGCTAATTTTTTGCTTCAACAGAAATCTTAACATTATTTTTACATTAAAAGTATCATGGCGATTAAACTCATTATTGGGACCCGCTGATGAAAGTGTCTCAGAAAATGCCAATCACAAAATAAATCCTTAATTCCTACGTTTTTATTGTTCTCTCTCCTTGAGTTTTTTTCTCATATTATCTAGCACTCAATAACCTCCTTCCGTCTTAGTGACTTTTTTGCCCTACTTAGAGTGAAATGATTAAAAAAATAATTGGCATCATAATAAAGAGGATTCAAATCCTGGATGCCTTAATTTTATTATTTTTGTTTATATTTCTGAGATGAGATATTGTAACTATTTAAGCTATTTACATTGTTCGGACTATTATCATCTTTATTGTCATATTCACGACGTTTCGGCCGTTACGCTTCGGCCTTCTTCAGGACATGTCTCTATTTCTGAGATGAGGTATTGTAAGTATTTACATTATTTACATTGTTTGGGCGGTTGGCATCATCTTTATTGTCATATTCACAACGTTTCAGCCGTTGTACACTCCGTCCTTCTTCAGGTAATATACGTTGGAATATCGTGAATATGACAATAAAGATGAGGACAACACTCCGAACAATGTAAATAGTATAAATTTGTCATTTTTGTCTAGGAAATTTAATTCAGCTGTTATGTTTATTAATTTTTAAAAGAATAAAATAAAAATAAAATAAATAACAAGCTAAGGATAGACAAAGAACTCCATTGGAAAATTCGTAAAATTAAGAAATCAGCACATATGCTAGGCCACAAAAATCTCCTGAGCCGACCAAGCATAGAAACGAATACAATATGGGAACCAGTAATAAGGAGTACCAGAGAAAAGCGATAATAAAAACAAAAGTTGCAATATGAGCTCTGGTAAAAACATGCAATGATAACAGCATAAAATTGCAATAGGTATACTGGTAAAAATGGTTGCTGAAGACATTAGGTTTATAATACCCAGAAATTCATGCACAGATGTCCTCAAGGACACATGGATAAAGGCGTTGGTTAGATCCAGTGACAGGACCCAAAGAGTGTGAGTTCAATACCCGGTTAAGGCAGTGAAGAACTTTTACAGGGAAATTAGCAGGAGATAATTGATAACGGACATCCATTAAACATGGCACGCGGAACTAGAACAGTCTACCCCAGTGAGTGAAATAAAGTGTTAGGTTCGACATTCCAACCACCTGAAGAAGGCCGGAGCGTACAATGAGCGAAACGTTGTAATAAATATGGCGACAAAGATGAGGACAATAGTCCGAATAATGTAAATGATGTACATAATGCCTCATCTCAGAAATATAGACAGATACTGATCTAAGGATTATTTATTTGTTCTGATAAAATAGAAAAAAAAAA